CACGAGACCACAAGGGACTCACTACACACGAGACCACAAGGGACTCACTACACACGAGACCACAAGGGACTCACTGGACACGAGACCACAAGGGACTCACTACACACGAGACCACAAGGGACTCACTACACACGAGACCACAAGGGACTCACTGGACACGAGACCACAAGGGACTCACTACACACGAGACCACAAGGGACTCACTACACACGAGACCACAAGGGACTCACTGGACACGAGACCACAAGGGACTCACTACACACGAGACCACAAGGGACTCACTACACACGAGACCACAAGGGACTCACTGGACACGAGACCACAAGGGACTCACTACACACGAGACCACAAGGGACTCACTACACACGAGACCACAAGGGACTCACTGGACACGAGACCACAAGGGACTCACTACACACGAGACCACAAGGGACTCACTACACACGAGACCACAAGGGACTCACTGGACACGAGACCACAAGGGACTCACTACACACGAGACCACAAGGGACTCACTACACACGAGACCACAAGGGACTCACTGGACACGAGACCACAAGGGACTCACTACACACGAGACCACAAGGGACTCACTACACACGAGACCACAAGGGACTCACTGGACACGAGACCACAAGGGACTCACTACACACGAGACCACAAGGGACTCACTACACACGAGACCACAAGGGACTCACTGGACACGAGACCACAAGGGACTCACTACACGCGAGACCATAAGGGACTCACTACACACGAGACCACAAGGGACTCACTGGACACGAGACCATAAGGGACTCACAAGACACAGAAAAAACCATATTGTTACGGCGACTTGTCCAAATCAAGTCGCTGTAATGTGAAACTGCCCTGTTGTGAGCAACTCCTTAAAGAAAAATAGAAGAGAGGGGTTGCCACGGAGGTGTTTTATCAACGGACAATCGAAGAGTCGGGATCGGACCGTCGAGCGATCAACACCATCTAATTCAAAGATCTCTAACATAATTTAATTTAGTTGTATTATAGTTCGTGTTCTCTATTGTAAATAAAATGCCGCGACGCGGGAGAAGTGTAGTAATTCGTAACAATATTATTCGGACGGCACACCACGTGCAAACTTCTACAAAGCTCGAAGCTCACAAGGAGCATCAACGAGCACTAACAGATACATTTTTATACCATCAATAAGTGTAAAAGAAAAAGTCGGTGGTCAGTCATTTTGACCGGTCTGGTAGTTTTTGTGTTCAGAAGAAACTTGAAACTCACTTGAACTTTTCATAACTTATCAATCAATTCGCTTCATTTATTCCAATAAACAATTTCATCATCCTATGGAGAGTATAATATGCATCGTTCTAATGTAATGCTCCACTATTTTGGAACGACATACTTTTCTCAGGAATACGAAAAATAATATTTTTGTTGTTTAATTAAACCAATTGAAGAACATACCAGCCTATTCTGAATGTGTTCTTTCTATTTATCATTCGGACTCACCCTGTATATCTTTAAAATTGCAGTATGTATATGAATGTAATAGTTGTAATTTTAATAGTTTAGTGCACGTAGCTTTGTACTATATTTACACGCGATTAACGCTTTCTCCGATAATAATTGTAATACATTTCAATCTTCTTAAAGTTCGTGAAATTAGCAATAATTGGATAAATGCCATTGTTCGCGTAAATTATATATATACTGTAGTATATCGTCTTATGAAAATATTATAAATTATATATTTTCCGGCTGAAGTGCTTCATAAATCAGATCGCCCTATAAGTTTAAGGTATGTATCTTCATTTACAATGACGATTCTAATAAGAGTGAACTTTAAATTATTTTAAATAACGGTAGTGGCGAATATCTTCTTAAAAAGCATAAAAAACTATTAAATTTTTATTACAACCATTTCTTTTTATAGCTGTTGCAGTTTTAAAGATAAATAGGTATACGCCTATCTACATCACATGAGGAGTATTGTCGTCCTGAAGAAACAAATTGTGGCCAATAATAAAAACTCGGAACTTGTTTTAAGATTCCTAACAAACGGCAAAGTTTGAAAAAGATTGGAATTTTCAGGTTGCCGAATTTTCCTTGTCCGTTATATTTTTGTCAAAATTGCAAGCCGTTCTGCTATCAATATACAGTAAATATTAGAGGCTTGTTTATATTGTTCCTGTGCTATTACTATGCTTATACGTGTTATTCCTACGCCTATGCTAAGGTTCGCCGGAATCAGTCAAGCGTATGATGCGACACGCGACGCAACTCCTTCGACTAGAATTCCCGGAATGACAACTCATAATACAATAATATAACTTTTTTAATTTTAACATTTTAAAACTGACTTTTTGTTAACATATTGTTAACAGTTTTTTTTTTATTAAAATGAAACCAAACATGATATAATTTAGATAGATATTTCTGATTACACAAAATAAAATCAATCACGATGTAATTGAATAAATGTGGTCTAAAGCGCGTCGTGTTTGGTCTCGTTTCACCAATAAAACAGTTAAGGCTTCGTTTTTATTTTAGCATTATTGTATTATATATTTATATTAATGTATACCAATATTCTGACTGCTGGGGCTTTTAAGTTTGCCGACTACCCCGATTTTCGTTCTCCCTCACACACACACACACACGCACGCGCGCGCGCACACGAGATGATGGCCACTACAGGGTGTCCCAAAAGTCACTCGCAATCGGGAAATGAGAGGATTCTCAGGTCATCTGAATTAACTTTTTCCTTAACGAAGAAACACTGAACGGAAAAAGCCGTTGATCTCGCAGCTGATCTCGCATCTCATTGGCCATTGTTTTTCGTTAATAATTCGGAAACAAAGCCGCGGATTGCATTTGCGCTCAGGAAAAAGTTACCTCAGATGACCTGAGAATCCTCTCATTTCCCGATTGCGAGTGACTTTTAGTACACGCTGTATAAAGGCGAGCCGCGAGGCTCGGGAAATCGCGTCCGGTTTGCCTAAGTCGTCCATTTTCGATTCCAAACTGTGGGACTATTAGGGAGAATTTACTGTAAGTGCTAAAAAATGACCAGAAAGAAATTCAACATCGTTTCAATATAAAGCAATACGATAAAATGAAATAGAAATTTTCACTTAGAAGAGGAAGTGTTTAGGATTTCAAGGCGATTTATGGTGCGTACGTGACTTCTCGTACCATGACAAGGGGGCCTTTCTCAGCATTCATGGGAACGTTCACATCTGGCATCATAAACAGATAGAGCGTCTAAATTCGACACTCGAACTTTTCCTTAAAACTCCAAGAACCGAACGACGCACCATAAATCCCTCGAAATGTGAAGAGCGCTTGCGCAACCCCGGGACGGACCCCAGGTCGCACTCCACGCCGGACCACCGGGGTGGGAAAATTACAAGGCCCGGTCTGTCGTAACGAACAAATGGGCGGTACTATTAACAAATTTAGGATTGGCTAGTGGACATCCCCATCTTGCGGAAAACCTCCAAAGGGGTAGGGGTTGGAGTCAATGTGGGAGGTGGGCCAAGAAATTTAGAATCAGAATCAATTCTCACAACGAAGGCAATCGTGCTCTTCGTGTATAGACCAGTATGGTCATCACACATACAGTAAACTAAGTATAGAAACAACGGCTCTTGCCGGCCATCTCTTGATGGTCATCTTCAATATACGAGCGTGATTGTGCACCAGCCACAATTCAACCCGCGCTTGTTAACAGGAAGTATTATGTTTATATACCTGGAGTCGGTGAAATTTCGGCACCAAGGACGAGCGCGGCAGCAGCAGCTCCGGCGGCTGCCACGTGGGGACTGTCATTTTCCGGTTCTTGACTGAACGACAGTCGCCGTCGCTGGGGGCAAGAGTCCGAAATACAGAGGTGCTTGGTCCCGTTAGATTTTGTGTGTTTATGCCTGGACAAGCTCCTTCTATGAAGATCTATGAAGAAGAGGGTGAAACTGCCGACCAGAACGCAGGTGGAACTGAAATAGTAACCAGCTTTCCCACCGTAGCCGACGTTCATGTATCCTGGAAAAGCGACACCGGTAACGGCGATACCGCCACGCGGTTATACATTTTCATATTCACACGCACCCTAGTTTTTGCAGGAGTTCTGTGTACGTTCTCGTAATGCGTTATGTCGTACACGCCGCTCCACAGTGGTCTGGAGCCACGTGATTTTTGGCACAAACTCGATTTCTCAACTTTTATTTATGGAAAAAATGTTTCTTCCTATGAACTGACAACCCTTTGACACTTCAACAACCGGAATATTACTTTGTATAGAGAAATTGTGTATATGCGTGTGGTATTCAGAATATGTAAATTCTATGCAAAATATACAAGGAATATGCAAGAATCTGTAGAATACGGAAGAAGAAAGAAATATTTTTTTATATCCTCCAAGGACGGAGCATATTTCAGTGAAAGTTTTATTCGTTTAATTAATTCTTCTAAAATATGCATTTGCTTAAACTTCCGGTAAATGACAATAGCACTGAATGATCGCCCGAGTCTTTTCATTCTAATTTATTCGGGCGGCACAGTGTAGAGATGATTATGGATTCGATGTATCGACTGTAAAACATTATTTGACCAACTTGAAGGGAATGGTCCTCCCCACAGATTTTAATGAGGCTCCTTTCGATCATTTTTGAACGGGGAAAATAAAATGATCTGTCAGTCGGATCTCGATGACCTTAACAAAATATAAAATATTGCAGGAACCGGTGAAANAGTGGACATCCCCATCTTGCGGAAAACCTCCAAAGGGGTAGGGGTTGGAGTCAATGTGGGAGGTGAGCCAAGAAATTTAGAATCAGAATCAATTCTCACAACGAAGGCAATCGTGCTCTTCGTGTATAGACCAGTATGGTCATCACACATACAGTAAACTAAGTATAGAAACAACGGCTCTTGCCGGCCATCTCTTGATGGTCATCTTCAATATACGAGCGTGATTGTGCACCAGCCACAATTCAACCCGCGCTTGTTAACAGGAAGTATTATGTTTATATACCTGGAGTCGGTGAAATTTCGGCACCAAGGACGAGCGCGGCAGCAGCAGCTCCGGCGGCTGCCACGTGGGGACTGTCATTTTCCGGTTCTTGACTGAACGACAGTCGCCGTCGCTGGGGGCAAGAGTCCGAAATACAGAGGTGCTTGGTCCCGTTAGATTTTGTGTGTTTATGCCTGGACAAGCTCCTTCTATGAAGATCTATGAAGAAGAGGGTGAAACTGCCGACCAGAACGCAGGTGGAACTGAAATAGTAACCAGCTTTCCCACCGTAGCCGACGTTCATGTATCCTGGAAAAGCGACACCGGTAACGGCGATACCGCCACGCGGTTATACATTTTCATATTCACACGCACCCTAGTTTTTGCAGGAGTTCTGTGTACGTTCTCGTAATGCGTTATGTCGTACACGCCGCTCCACAGTGGTCTGGAGCCACGTGATTTTTGGCACAAACTCGATTTCTCAACTTTTATTTATGGAAAAAATGTTTCTTCCTATGAACTGACAACCCTTTGACACTTCAACAACCGGAATATTACTTTGTATAGAGAAATTGTGTATATGCGTGTGGTATTCAGAATATGTAAATTCTATGCAAAATATACAAGGAATATGCAAGAATCTGTAGAATACGGAAGAAGAAAGAAATATTTTTTTATATCCTCCAAGGACGGAGCATATTTCAGTGAAAGTTTTATTCGTTTAATTAATTCTTCTAAAATATGCATTTGCTTAAACTTCCGGTAAATGACAATAGCACTGAATGATCGCCCGAGTCTTTTCATTCTAATTTATTCGGGCGGCACAGTGTAGAGATGATTATGGATTCGATGTATCGACTGTAAAACATTATTTGACCAACTTGAAGGGAATGGTCCTCCCCACAGATTTTAATGAGGCTCCTTTCGATCATTTTTGAACGGGGAAAATAAAATGATCTGTCAGTCGGATCTCGATGACCTTAACAAAATATAAAATATTGCAGGAACCGGTGAAAACGCTACATCCTAATTGTTGAAATTTTAGCCTCGAACAAAAATTAATCTATAGTTTACTTAGTAAGATATCTTCAGTTAAGATATCGGTTTACATTTCGCCGGCTCCGTCAGCGGGCAGCGACGGTGATGTAAACTGTATATATTAGATGCCGCGATACATCATCGCCGGTACCTTTTGGTATACATCGTGCCCTGACTGTTTGAGGGTCCCAGCGTCACGTATACAATGTAAAACGCGACAAATAAAACGTCTCTGATTGGTGGACACGACGAACCCAAAAAGGGTATAAAAGAAGCGTTTCTTCTTACCGGACTCTCAGTAGAGTTTGGTCGCTCGATCGGTTTCGCTCATATACCTTCTCTCAATAAAGGATTAAAATAAAGTCTTCTAAAGCAAAGAATTAGAATCATTTCCATTCCATAATCCCAATACTAATGATCAAACGGAATTTTCTTTAGTCACGATTATTGTTACCATACACTAGCACACTACGAAACAGTGATTGAACGCTGAGCAAACTCTAAGCGAGTTGTTGTGTACATTTTTATAAAGAATATAATAGCCGGTTAAGAGGATCAAAAGTGCCCTTGAGCTGATTTATACGGTCGAGGTGCCATACGATAGATTATAAATAGAAACCGCTTCGTGTTAATTTTTAATCTTTTCCGCGCCTCAATTGTAACTGGGGACGTAATTATAGGGTGTCTTCGCGCACGCGAGTTTCAATCGATTTTCAATCGTATTTAAAAGCATGCAAGAATTTTGACAAAAATGGAACATGTCACGGTTGCTGATGTGCACTGTCGAGAATTATTTTCAGATTTTTAAGTTTATTATCCTAGTTGTGAAAAATGAAATTCTAGTCCTAAAAAAATGCAGATCTTTTTATGAAAGTTGATTCGGTACACTACTACACACACCATCGCATATTCTTTAAAT